AACAATAAAACAATAGAATAGAACAATAGAATTTAGAATAGAATACAATTTTTATCAATAGAACAAAAAATTGACAATACTGTATAGAACCTATAATATAAAAGTTATTAGTAAACTACTTAAATTAGATACTAAAAGTATATGTATAGCTGAATGTACTCTCTAAAATAGAGGTTTTCTTAAATCTATAAGTTATAAGCTTTTATTCAACAATATTAAATAAAGTTTTAGCTTCAAAGAGGCTAATTTAAAAAAAATAATAATAATAATTAAAATATTATAATTAAAAATAATTAAAATATTATAGTTAATTGTTAAAAATATTATAATTAATAATTAAAAGATACTTTAGACATCTCTGCCTAGAGATGCTTAGCTTTTACATCTCTGATCTAATAACTAATTAAAATATTAATATATCACATAAAGCATATTTTTGTATAATACACAAAATATAATTCTTCTAAATCAGTTTAACAAAGCATTATTTTGATCAGAGTATATAAGCAAAACATCTCAGCTAGAGATGCCTATTATATTTTTATGAAATAATGCTTATAAGCATTATTTTAAAAATTAGTCCTCTAAAAATAACATATATAGCTCTAAAATAATGCTTATATATGTTCTAAAATAGCATATATTTTATAGTAAGGATGCTTATTTACAACAAATACTTCAGAACTAGATTTACTTAGTATCAACCTAGCTTCAGAATATTTTTTGTTTTAGACAAGATGTTTAAATTTTATATTTGTCTCAAAATAATGCCCATGCACATACTTAAAATAATGTGCATATACTCAAAATAATGTACAAATAAGCATTATTCTGTGAAAATACAGTTAAGAATTTTCAAATAAGGAAATCACATTCTAGAATGATCTACAAGTAAGTTCTTAAGTATGATTAGCTCTCACAAGTTTTCTTTCACAAACATTATACATTTTAAAAATTTTTTTCAATAGTTAATAAAACCGAAAAGGCTCTAAATATGTAGTTTAAAACATTTAGTTTTAATCATCTCAAAAAATCTCTTATAGTAATCTTTCTTGGCTAAAGTAAATGAGACATTAAAGCCAGGTATTTACTTCATAGAAAGTTAAAAATTATCATTAGTTAAAACGATTTTAAAAGTTTATTTTTATATTAAAACAAAGATTTAAAATACTATTTATATTTAATCTTCATAGTTTAATTAGTTGCAACTTTATAGATACTAATATAATTCATATAAGAAAATACTCAAGATATTCAAGAAAGATTTAAATTACAAAACAATATATCTGATATAGATTACATTTTTAAACAATACTATATATATGGATGATATTGTTTAATAGTATAAATCAAATATTATAATATGTAATTAGTAAAGAGATATTAATTTACTATAATAAATTGTTATTTAAAATATTTAATAAGAGATAAAGCTTTGTTAATAATAAAACATATTTGTTTATATATAAGTTTTTAATTAATTTAATTGGCTAATGTTTATGTGCTACAAAATCTAGAACCTTTTGATCAATATCTTTATACTATAAAAGGTGCAATCTTCAATGTTTATTTTTAGTAAAATCCCTAACTAAAATATAGTATAATTTTTCATAATTACAGTTTTTTTTTTGATATAAAGGTAATCTCTTGGTTATATTTTTTTTATTCATTTTTTTTAACTTTTACAGTATGATATTTATACTATATACATATTTGAAGAGTATAACTAACTATATATACAACTTTTGGTTGCCTATTTAATAGTTTACTTATTATTAAGTTTTGCACTAGATGCTATACCTATTTAAACTTTCTGTGCTTATATACATTACCCTTATAACCGAGTGAGAATACTAGTATCACCTTATTTTCAGATACTGACTTAAACAACTTTATCCTTAAGATAAACCTGCTAGAGCTTTCCATATTCACAATCTGGCTGACTTAGACTTCAGTTGATATGTATGGGCAGAGGCTCACCACTTGTACTCCAGTTTCTATAATAGTATATTCTTCAGCTGTTTTATTTTTACTAGTTTTTTCTAATGTTTTAATTTTACTATCATGTCGAGGCAGCCGGATGATGTTGGATCTACAGCTTAGATAGTTTAAATATACTTTGTATATATGCTTCGATCTAACAAAAATACCGGCGAGGCTACCAATAAAGGAAAAAAAATGCAAAACAAATCCTGAATAAGAATTATATTATGGAGATTCAAGATGACTCAAGAGACGGTTATGATGATAATGATATTGAAGAACTTTCTGAGAATGATGCAAATGAAGATGCAAGTAAATTTGTACAATAGTAATAGTATTTTAGCACATTGACCTTTTACTGAATCACAATTATTTAGCATTCTTATCTTTCATAAATGTAATACTATTAAAATATATTTAAAGAAAACGATAAATTGGCTATTTAATTGTTTTGTTTTTTATTGATGACTATTTTTGCAGTTTATTATTCTCGCATTTTTTTTTACAAATGATTATTGTTAAAAAATAATTTTTTTGCAGTTTCGTGTACCTGCAGATCATTGAAGGTAGTGAAGAATTACGCAGTATTTAGTTGCCAAAGTATACCGTATATACCTACCTTGTTTAATCTCCTGATGGATAATTTACTGCATTATGGATAGTTTAATAGATTATATGATCATTTAGGCGGATTGGCGGAATTGGACCTTTATTTAGATACTCAATTTGAACCCTAGATTTACTTATTGCGCTTTGCAAAATTCTGTGACTCCCCCTTAATTACTAATATTTATAACATGATCTTGTGATTGCGAATTTTGCAAAGCGTAAATTTAGGATTCAAATTTAGAGTATCTAAATAAAGATCCAATTCCGCCAATCCGCTGAAATGTATACCCTATCAGGACAGTATCGGTATGTAAATCGATTTTTTTTTTTTGGTACCTTGTAAATGAATCGAAACTATTAGGCGTTAGTACCGATATTATTCCATTTGACACTCTCATCTTCTTAAGAAATGTCACAACATGGCAAAGTTTGCATAACCTTTACACGCGATTAAAACAATCTAATGATTTAAGAGGAATTAAAAGGCAACAACTGCAGTTATAGTAGAACATACTACAAAACTAATATCTATATTCATGTAAAAATAATGCACTCTGCACCAGACGTTGTGAATGTATATTACAAGACAGATGCAATAATCAATAATATTAACTAACATTAAATTATCATGGTTTATCATTTCTTAATAATTATACGTCAAAACTTGAATCCGTTTAAAGAAAACTACTAAAAAGACAGTGGTTATCAAACGTTAAAATAAATTCCTAAGCGACGATAGAATGCGTTAATTTTTACAAGTTTATGTTAATACGCGCGATTATATAACTCATTGAGCCATAGGATTAAAATATTGTAAGGGGGAAGTTCTTGAATATGAATATTTCACTTAATATCTCACTTATATACTACAGATCGGATTGTTTACATTCATAATGATTTTTAAGTTTGGTACAGTATAATACCATGGATGTATTCTCATGAAGTTTTTTAAGTATTAATTGATCGCCAATATTTTTAAGAGCTAAATGTTTAAGATTCTTGCAAGCTCTTACCGGTAGCAACATTATGATCAATCTAGAGCTAATATTAGTTCAAGATTTCACCAATGTGTCCTTTGTATCCTTTGCGCGATCCAATTTCTAACCCACAATATAGATCACTACAAATGGAAGTGATAAAATTTGTATTATTCGAAAAGTAATTTGGGGCGAAAGTGCATCTACTAATGTTTTTTGTCCTTCTAATCCAAAATTATTTGCCCGAAGATCCAATGAAGTTGGTGTGGTGTTTTTGCAAAGAGCATCAGCTAATCTTTTTATATCGTCTGATCCAAGCTTATTACGACCAAGAATCAAAGAGTTTAACGTGGTGTTTCTTGCAGAGTACATTGGACCTTGCTTTCCCCCCTTTTGATTTAGCATTGTTACTATACAGATTCGAAGAAGTCCAATGGTATTCTCGTAAAGGATCTCTTCTAATACTGTATATTTCGTCGAGGATTGACCTATATTTGTTATGCGTCGTTCATAATTTATGCTAGTTCTGAATTGACATTACAAAGTCATTTGAGTCGTAATTTGATATACGTTATGATATCTACTAAAATAATAATAATAATCAAATTTGTTCTCAAGCAAGTTGTTCGCTCATTCCAAACAGCTTTACACGGTTTCTATCAATTGAAATCTTAGATAACTATATCCAACGAATTGGAACTACTAGTCACTAACAAATATTCAACCCTTGACTTGGAACTTTTATCACTTTAAAAAATTCTAGATTATAGTTTTCATTTTTAATATTTACCTTCTCAATGTTTTCGACTTTAGTTACTGCAACTTATGAAGAATTCACATTTAAACTTCAGATTTTTATGTGTACTCGGAGAGTTTCATAAAAGCGTCAAGCAATGATAATGCTGCATTGGGATCGATTCTTTTGTTATATGGGATGTCACGCATTAAGAGGGCCCATTTTTATATACCGGATGTTCGATAAGCCCCTGGACAGGACCCTTTTATTGATCTCTTTGATTATCAAAGGTATTGTATTACGTTTATTAGTAAAAAAGGATCTATCCTTTTAAGTGATTAAGTGATTATACGTATTATAAGTAATTAGCTTATAGTAAACTTTTTATTGAATGCATAACTATCAAAAAAAAATTTTGAAAAAGCCCTTTAATATGTTACACCCCATATAGTCGCTAACTATGTCTCGATAGTTTCAGATGCAAGGAATAATTTCTCTACGTAAGTACCAGGGCTAAAACGACATATAGTAAATTCCGGACATGCAATAGTGTCGTTCTTGATTCACGGTATATTCATGTTTTAT